ATAGCTAAAAAGTGGAAGAAACTCAAGTGGCTTTCAACGAATGAATTTTTAAAATGTGTTATATCCATACAACAAAATATTATTTGTGCATGAAAAGGAATGAAGTACTGATTGATACCTGTTACAGTGTGAATGGTCCTTGAAATACTATGAGAAGTAAAAGAATCCAGCCACAAAAGACCACATCAAATGATTCTGTTTATATAAAATGTCCAGGAAAGGCAAATCTGTACAGACAGAAAGTAGATTCATGGTTGCTTAGGGATTGGGGTTGGGGTATGGAGGTGGGTGATAGCTAAAGGGTATGTGGGAGGTTTCTTTGAGGTGATAAAAGTATTCTACAATTGACTGTGCTGATAGCTGCACATAGCTATATACTAAAAGTCACCAAATGGGACCTTAAATGGTGGATTGTATGATATACGAATTATATCTCAATAAAGATTTTTCTAAAAAAAGACATTTGCAGAAGTTCAGTGCTTTTCAGATGAGGCTATGAACATATTCTCAAGAATGATATGCAGTCAGGTGTAACAAACACCACATTGGCCACCAGGACACACATAACCTAAGCGGCCGAAGAGTATGCATGCCCTGTGCCGAATGCTGTGCCGCTAATGAAGTGCTGCGAGATGTCTTCAGGATGCTGGAATGCTACATCTTTGCCTTGATGGCCTCACTGCATCTCCTCCCTCTGGGTCAGAAGCCATCAGAAGGCAGATTCTAAAAAGGAGCTGGCTATGGAGCTATATACTAGGCTGCTTTCTGAGTGGAGTGAGGGAAAGGAAAACTCACGTGTTCTGAGCATCGACTTTCTACTATCTACAGTCTAAAGCCAGTAAGCAGTGAGGCCACCATTACATTCCTTTCGTTGGAAAGTTCTCATAGTCTGGGATACCAATCCTTTTTGTGTCCCACATGTCAGGTGCTTTGGTATATGTGAGGAAGCTACATGCAGTATCTGGCATGATGCCTGGAATAGAGGAAGTGCTTGATAAATATTTATTGAGTAAACATTTGAGCCAATGTTAGCTGTAAGGCTGCCGTTACACAGAAGACTCATTAAAATTGGTATTATAAAGAGCTTACATATGAATTCTTTATGTAGATTTGTGATAAACAATGAAAAAAGATTTAACAAAAACAGTATCCTGTTTATGAAACACTTTAAGTCTAAATTAAATATGTCTACATAGTTCTGATAGTCTAAGGTAGGGAATGCAGATAATTCACTGATTGGCACTATAGTTGGAAAATACAAATGCAGATGGCAGATCCCTTATTGGCAAAGTGTGGGAATGGGGAACAAGGGAACATGCACCGAATGGGTTTTAAAACTGCTGATGGTGGCCAGGCGCGGTGGCTCACACCTGTAATACCAGCACTTTGGGAGGCCAAGGTGGGCAGATCACCAGAGGTCGGGAGTTCGAGACCAGCCTGGCCAACAAGGTGAAAACCATCTCTACTAAAAATACAAAATTAGCTGAGTGTTGTGGTGGGCACCTGTAATCCCAGCTACTTGGGAGGCTGAGGCAGGAGAATCCCTTGAACCCAGGAGATGGAGGTTGCAGTGAGCCAAGATCGCGCCACTGTACTTCAGCCTGGGCAACAAGAGCAAAACTCCATCTCAAAAATAAATAAATACATAAAAATAAATAAATAAACTACTGATGCCCATGGATGAGACCAAAGGTAATAAAAGCTAACCTCTGGGCTATGATCCAAATGAATTAATCAGAAGGGAAAACAGGCTTTGGAGGGCATCAAGCAATACCTTCTACCCAGGCAAAGGATGTGCTGGTGGTTCCAAAGTCTGCCCAGGTGGACAACTGTCAAGACAAATCACCAAGCCCCAGATATGGCTCTGCAAAGTGGCTGCTAGTGAACAGCACGTTCAGATGCACACACTGCAGTGGCTTCCAGAATTGATTAAATAGATCTGTTCAAACCCGATTGAAACTGCATTTTCCTCACTTTTCTATAGAGGGGTTTTCTGACACATCATGGCTAAGCGTAAAAGTGATGGATGCATTGATGGCCCTCATCATTCGGTGGCAGGAAGGAAAAGGACGTTCACAAGCACCCAGCCCAGCATTTCCCTAAATGTTAAATGCGTCCCACTGGCGGGACAGGGAACCACATGGATGTATTCACTTCGCAGGACTGCAGAAACTAACAAACCGGATGGTTTAAAACAACAGAAATGTATTCTGCCATAGTTTTGGAGTCTACCAGTCTGAAATCAAGGTGTCCACAGGACCCGGCTCCCTCTCAGGACTCTAGGGAAGAATCCCTCCTGGCCTCTCTCTAGCCTCCGCTGGTGGCCAACAATCTTTGGAGTTCCTTGGCTGGAGACACAGTGCTCCGGTCTCCACTGTGATGGAACACCGTGTCTGTGGCCACAGACTCCACTGTGGTGTTCTCCCTGTGTGTCACAATCTGTGTCCAGATTTCCTTCTTCTAAAGACACCAGTCATGGGATTAGAGCCCTAATTCAGTATGACTTCCCTTTAACTTGAGTACATCTGCAAAGATCCTGTTTCCAAATAAGATCCCATTTCCAAAAAAGATTCCAGATACCCTAGAATTTGAACATATACAATTCAGCCTACAACAACCAGTAAATGTTTTTTTATTGTCATGTATTTCAGTGTATATCCACGACATACAATTAGCACATCAAACAATGATTTCACTGACACAGGATGATTGCTTAAGCTGACTAATGGCTAAGGTTAAAAGAGTTAATGTAAAGGAATATCTTGAGTAGACAGTTCTATAAGTGTTACTCAGACACAGTAGAAATTGTGAAGGTGGTAAATTAATATTTGGAATGCATTGAGCTAGCCCCAACCTATCTCTTCAGGCAGGGTGTTGTCTAGAAAAGAAACGACAGTAGATAACTGAGTCTCTTATTTGAAAGCTTCCCCAAAGAGATTTCACAATCTCTTTCAGAGTGAGGCCATTGTGCTATGAATCTCGTTGCCTAAAAGTTCCTCCTTATATCTAGCCTCAATCCCTCTTGCTTCAGTTAAAACACATGACTGCTGGACATACACTCTTTATACTATCCAACATGTTAGGTCATCCAACATGCAGGCAGATGAATTCTAGGTATGCAGAACTTCTAGGAGCTTAAGAATTCAACTGAACTGTGACATATGTTTGTTACCTAAATCCAATATTTAAAGTTGGTAAAAAGAAAGGACCAAGTCTGTACTTGGAGAGGGAACCCCCACTTTTCAAGCGCTTTTGTGGCTGACTGGTGAGCAAACACCAGATGGGGCCAGCTGACCTGTTGGAGGATCTAACTCCCGCACACAGACTCCTGGCAGACCGCAGTCACAGGTGAAGGCACTCATGGTCTTTTCCTCCTGTGTCTGTACAAAATCCTTTTCCACCTGAAAGAAGCTGTCTTGTCACCCTGGCACCACTCATCAACAAGAGGCTCCAACCCAGCCTATGTGAGGCCATTTAATTGCAGTGGAGAATGCCAGCTAAACAAAGCAAGGTAAATGAGTGACTTTTTACACACTTCTGTAACCCTCTGTGTCCAGTCAAGAGACTAATGTTGCCATTTATGAATAATTAAATCTTTTCCTCCAGAAAAAAAGAATAATCTGCCTTTTGCACAGTCACAAGAGCATGCTTAAATAGAAAGGAAAACGCACATGTGGCCCAATCAAAGAAATCTGCCACATTTTCAAGGTTTAGTGTCCTGGGAGCTTTCAGGACAGACTGATGGTCCTTTTTCACCATCTCTAAACCTGCTTGTGGACTATGATTCCCTCCAGCCACTGTGCATAAAGCCTGCCTATTAGGGATGCCAAAGAACACTCTAGAGGCGTGTAAAGCCAGTCAAGCCTCAAGGGATACCTGTTTGCATAAGAATCTGAACTGTGCCTAAGCCTTCCGGTTTAGGGAACAAAGCTTCAGGGTTCTGAGTCCAGGGTGTGTGGATTCCTCCCTGGCTCCCTGCCCACTGCTGAAGCCTAGGGTGGAGATGGGGTTGGGGAATGCCCCTGCATTCATGGCTTCCAGGACACTCCGGTGCAGCCCAATTCTGCTGCAGTCCTGGAGGGTCAGGTGTGAGCCCCTGGAATACAGAGAACCTCCAAAGAGAGAAGCAGAAAGAGAAAGAGGTGCAGGAGAACGCCATGAGCCAGAGAGAGAAAGAGAAAGTCCCAAAGCAGAGTGGCAGGGAGGGGGAAACAGACCTTGTGTATAAAACTACAGATGCTCCTGACCAAGCGTCAGCTCTCTCCTCACTTAGGACATAAGACCTAACTGCTTACAGCCCAGCGGGCTCAGACTATTGATTTTATTTTTTAAAATTAAACTGGCATTTCACTTGGATTCACTAACCAAATGAAGTCCTGAAACACAACAATTCCACTATGTAAAATTATTCTCACATAATACCTGTTCAGGCAATAAGAACCAAAACATCTGCTCTTAGACACTATTCTTTGTCATCGCTAAACAGTTCTGTCTGTCCCTCTCTCTCTCTCTCACCCCCCACTTCCCACATCAGTCTTCCCAGTTGAGGGAGCAGCTGCAGAGTGAGTGCTTTCCACAATCAGCACGGCCACCTTCCTCCAGACTGGGAGCCCTGGCCTTGCTCAGGATCGATCGCCTGACCCCTTTGCAGGTCTGCCCGGCCCCGCCGGCCACACACACCCTGCCCAGGCTATGGTCAGTGTCCTGTGGGCTCCGCGTGTGAACGGTTTGGCTCGGCTTGCTGACAGAGACGGCAGCATCAGAGATCCCTAGCCCTGAAACCCAGACCGGAAAAGGCAGGAGTGCAGCTGGCAGATTGGTAGAGCTGTGGAGCAGCTACCCCTCTTTGCTTAACCAGATGCCATCACCTACAGAGTTCAGGAGAAGGAGACCTGCAAGGAGAGGGGCAGGAGGGAGAAGGCGCAGGAAGCAGTAGCAGGTGCTTGTGCCAGCTGCACCTCTTTTACTCAGAGCCCAGACACAGGTGCTTCCGTGCCTACCTTGGTGGTTGTGTCTCCGCCACCCGGCAGCCTCTCCCGCTCTCCTCTGGGGGACCCCCGGTTTCCAGCACGTGCTTGGTGCTGTGGGATGCAGAGGGGCCTTCTGCTGTGAATCTCTAAGGGACTTCCTGGTGACCGAAACCGAAGGTTTCCTCCCCTGCGTGCAGCCTTTCACTGAGGCTCCTGTGGAGGTTTGCAGATTTTCTTTTCTCAAACTCAGTCCCGCCCCTTGTTCTTGCAGATAAGGGAGTTTTCCCTTAGGGACCTCTGTGGCCTCCTGGCCCAGCCTTTCTGGTTCAAAGGGCACAGGGCCGTACTACCTATGAGGCTGAGCATTCATTCGCTTCAATTAAATTTTCCATTAACTTGGTCTCTGGCCAATATGGATTTTCTCTCTAAGGTTGTCTCTGCAGTTCAGATCACTCAGCCCTGAAAATCAACCTTATGACTCCCCTCTGGTCCATTTAAGTACATTTCTATTTTTTCCCCCCTAATGAGATGCGCAGCAACCAACCATAATTTTAATGCCTGACACCTGAACTTCTTTAATCCTCTCAGATGTTTCCGGTTTGCTTAAGACTTTGTTCTAAGCCTAGGCACTGATTTCCTCCTTTGGAAATTTTGACCAAAGGCGTTTTTGACCAAAGTCATCTGTTTGGGATAACGAGTGCCCTTTCTGTGCTCTCAGGAGGAGAGCAGGTTCCATACCACCCTCCGTATGATCTTGCAGCTTCGCCAAACCTCCACGCCAAGCTTATGAGAATTCCCGAGACCTGGGGGAGGTGAAGTGGGTGGGACTTCCTGTGGTCACGCTGTTTCCTCCACAGCCCCCACACTTTTTTTGGTCTTTTGTAGAACCCTGGGGAAATTAAAAGTGGTCCTTAATCAGGAAAATGCTGAAGTTCCTGGAATAGAGGACACCTTGTAAGTTTCCTTTCTAAATGGACAGCTCAACTTTGAGAGAGGTTCATAGCACTCCTAGCACTGCTCACTCTAGTGGAGCAAGTTGCTGTGCTGTGAGATGCTCTGCAAAGGGACCCATCTGGCAACAAACCAACAGCTCAAGGGAAACTGAGTCCTGCTGACAACGTGTGAAAAAGCTGGAAAAGTGGATCCTACCCTAGTTGAGGTTTGAGATGCAGCCTTGTGAGAGATTCAGAACCAGAGGGTCTGTGGTCCAGGCTGCACCTGGCGCCCTGACCCACAGAAGCTGTGAGACTATAAATGTTATTTTAAGCCCCTAAGTGTTGGGGGTAATTTATTACACAGCAAAAGATAACTGATGTGGACAGAAAAAGGGAAGCTATTTCATTCCTCTTGATTCTGCATGTCCAGATTGGAAGTTGTCATTATTAACTCAGCAGTAGCTAGGATGTATCTGGTACAGAATATCTGCCCACTTCTCTACCAGGGAGTTTATGTTTGTTTGTTGCAGTTTTTTTAGCAAAGGATTTGTTGCTTATGAATGAAACCCACAAAGCACCCACTATTAGGAGAGAGTTCATGAAGTTCATCTTAGAAGCCTACTGGTTTCCCAAGCTGCTTCAGCTCCTCTTAGCATGGTTTGCCATTCTAACCCTAGTTCTCATGCATGGACAACAGATAATGGTGGGGTAGTCTGCAGGTAGTAGTACCTTAGGGTCCGCCACGGGGGCTCAGGGTTGCGGTCCAGGGGAACAACCAAAAGGGGTCTCTAACACAACCAGTGTAGGTCCTGGAGGCCTCGAATGGCTGCATCTCACATACCCTGTACCTTTGTTTCCACCAGTCCTTGTGCTTCCGCTGTTCTGAGGTGTAAATCAGAGAACTTGGTTTCCAACCCCTTGGATCTACTTAGATGCCTGGCCCATCCCCCGGACCTACTCTTCTGTCAGAGGCAGGAGCCTCTTTGGACAGGTTCACCAGAAACACAGAACGTCTTCTGCAGTGGACACAGACACAACTGTTTGACAGAGAGGCCGGGAGACCCCCCACCATCTGGCCAGTTGTAAAGGCTCACGGAGAATCGAGGAGTGGGGGTGCCACATGAAGGACTGTTCACCTCTTGGAACACAGGAGATTTCCAGTAGATTTTGTCATTTGAAGAGAGGGCATAGGGTAGAGGTAGAGGTGTCTTTCAGAGGATTCCTGGGGTCAGCCTTCTAGGAAGAAGGAGTCCATTTGACCTCTTTTTTTCAGGCTCTTTTTCTCCTCCACACCCCCAAACAGTAGAAAGTCTATAAAGGGTTTACTGCCAGCATCATTCTGCTCCTCAAGTCTCAGGTGCTGGCATCTTTAATTCACAAAATAATTTGTGATTTAGGTAAGAAGAGTGTTCACTTCTTTTTGTTTGTTTGTTTGTTTGAATACAGTTACTTTCTACCAAAATGTTATCAAACGGGTCAACACGACTCAATATTATAATAGTTCATATTGAGGATAACTTGGGCAATTAAAACAACTTAATTGGAACATTCATTAATTGGTTAATAGTTATTGCGTAAATAACTTCCTCAGTATCTACAGGACATGAAAGAGAACCTGAGCCTTACAATGCAAAGGGATCCAATCAATTGCTAGACATAGTAGAGAATCCATTTTAAATTCTATGAAATGCAGGCTTTTCTCTGGAGGCCCTTTCTTTAAAAAAGAGATTATATTGTTCCCTTTTAGTTCAATATTTTAAAATAGGTACAGATATCATAATTTAATGAAAGATATCACTGAAAATATAATAAAGTTTTTCCTAAATGAACTTACATAGGCACACAGGGAGAATTAGGATGAGGAATCCTGCCCTGGAGAACACTCCTTATTCCATGGTGTTAGGGTTCTAGCTTGGCCTCTGTGGCCCTAAGTGTCAGGAAAAATATGAAGGCTTTTGTATTTTCTACAAAACTTGTGGACGCTTTTTAGTTTTTTGTTGTTGTTGTTGTTTTTGAGAAGGAATCATGCTCTGTCACCTAGGCTAGAGTACAGTGGCACGATCTTGGCTCACTGCAACCTCCACCTCTTGGGTTCAAGTGGTTCTCCTGCCTCAGCCTCCTGAGTAGCTGGGATTACAGGCATCCGCCACCACACCCGGCTAAGTTTTGTGTTTTTAGTAGAGACAGGGTTTCACCATGTTGGCCAGGCTGGTCTTGAACTCCTGGCCTCAAGCAATCCGCCCGCCTCGGCCTCCCAAAGTGCTGGGATTACAGGCATGAGCCACTGCACTCGGCCTCAACACTCTTTTTCAACCTTTTCATCAAAACGTTCTGCAAGTATTCTTAAGACCAGAGCTTGTCAATAGTTTATTCTCCTTCCAAATGACCCCCTTTCTAATGCTCAGCTTGAGAATGAGAGAACTCATTTGTTCATGTGGCCCTTGGTTGTGACAGAGCAAACACAGCTCCACAATGCTCCAGTCATGTGGCCTGCACTGGGACACAAGCAGGTGCAAAGGCATCTGCAGGAACTCACCTCCCTTCATTCCTTTCTTTTCTTTCTGTTTTTGTGGGAGGGGGGATTCCAGCTCTGTTTTTTTTTTTCTTCATTTTTTTTATTGTGGTAAAATACATATCACATAAAATCTTGCCTGGACACAGTGGCTCACTCCTGTAATCCCAGCACTTTGAGAGGCTGAGGCAGGTGAATTGCTTGAGCTGAGGAGTTCGAGACCAGCCTGGCCAACATGGCAAAACCCCGTCTCTACTAAAAATACAAAAATTAGCCAGGCGTGGTGGTGGGCACCTGTAATCCCAGCTACTTGGGAGGCTAAGGCAGGAGAATCACGTGAACCCTAGAGGTGGAGGTTGCAGTGAGCTGAGATCATGCCACTGTACACTAGCCTAGGTGACAGAATGAAACCTTGTCTCAAAAAAAAAAAAAAAAGAAAATTACCATCTTTACCATTTCTAAGCATATAGCTCAGTGATATTAAATACATTCAAAATGTTGCATAACCATCACCAGCATCTATCTCCATAACTCGTCTTGTAAAACTGAAACTCTTTACCCACGAATCAAGAACTCCCCCTTTCTTTTCTTTTTCTACCATCATTCCACATACTAATTCAAACAACAGATCAAACTCCGACACTGTCTGGTGGAGTAGGCTACTCGTGTGGGTTTTGTAAAACTGAGGAAATTCTCCAGGCAGCTGGAATGATGGGCTCTGCCTGCCCCGTGGTTGTCATCCAGCCCCGATGTAGCCAGAGCACAAGGACATGAGGAAAACATCCCGAGTGGGAAAGGCAGGAAACCCAGGAGGAGAAGAGAATTGATCTTCCTAGAGTGTAGTTTCCTCCTTGATTTTGCTAAATGAGGGCTGGGGTTTGTTCTGTTCTTTCACATCTTTGCTAGAAGAAACACAGGTGTACCACAAGCCCCTTGTGGACATCTATTGTGTGCAGTCCGCCCTCTGAGCTGAGAAACAGGGACGCACACCCCACCCAGCCAGTGCTGGATAACAGGTCTTATGGACAGCAGGACTGGCGAGGAAAAGCAAAGGGCCGGGGATGAGAAGACCTGCTCTCAGTTTCCTCTCTGCTGCTATCTTGCTGTGTGTGTGGCTCTGAACAAGTGACCTGGGCCCTGTGCACCTCACTGCATTACAAACAGGGGAGCTCGGTACTATCTGCCAACTGACGAAATGGATGGGTCCATGTAATGAAACTCGTGCCTCTTGATGAACCCTGTTCCCTTTTAAAAATAAATGATCTTTCATAAAGATAGACATTCTCTATATTCTCTGTAATGTTATTCTATTAGATAAATGTGTGGTTGGGCAAGGAAGCAGGTTTGATTTCTCAATGCTGAGTGTATAGGTTCAGCCGTAACGGAACACTGTGAGTGACTATTACTGGGAGGGTGTTCTGGTGCCTGCTCAAAGACCACCAGCCAAGGAAGGAAACAGTAAACCTCAAGAATAAATGTCCGTTCTCATCTTCCACCCCCTGCCATCTGTATATGAAAGAAGCTACTCAACAAAAGTAAACAATCTGTCCCCATTATGCTAAACCTTCAAAAGGCAGGAAACCAGCTACTAAATTAGATCTTGCAGAAGAGTTCAACTCTCACATTTGTGGTTTCCAAAGATCTCCAACTCTTGGTAAGCAGACAATTTGTTCTGTCGTGTTGCATAGAATTCAAGTCAGTAGGTATTTACTGCATATTTGCTGTGTTTCAGGCTCTGCTGGGGACCCCCAGGCCTATCTAGCAGGAAAATGAGATCTGGACGCAGAGTCCTGCAATATAAAGCAGAATCAAATGCCATTGTGGACGTGGAAATAAGGATCTGGGGAGAACAGAGGGACATCTTCTTGGGGTTGGGGAAGGTTGAAAGGGCACCAGAGACCATGCTTCAGTGCTTGCTGGCCATGGGGAGAAATTTGTTCGTTAATTTGTCATCATTCTTTCCTATCTTTCACCCTCTTCCCCAGATATGCAAGCCTTGTCTTTCTCCTCTGGATTTATACAAGTGCCACCTCAATCCAACCACTCTGCTCTTCATGCCCTTCTCTTCCTTTCCAGCCCACGAAACACCTCCACTGGACACTGGATCATCTTCAGGGGCAACACTTGTAGGAGAGAAGAACCATCTTAGCACAGACAGACTTACTGTACTGAAAACTTGGAATAAGTTTCTCTGTGTGAGCAGGGCTCTGCCAGCTCACCCACACTCTATCACTCTGAGTGTGGTCCCCGCCCTATCAGCTGCACCAGTATCAGCAGCACCAGTACCACTTGGGCACCTGTCAAAAGGCAGACTGTCTTGTGGAATGATAGACAATGCAGTCTTGTAATGGTGAGCAGGTGGGAGGGAAGAGGAGAGTTATGTAATGGGTACAATGTACATTATTTGGGTGACGGGTGCCCTAAAAGCCCTACCTTCAGCACTGTGCAATCTATGCATGTAACAAAATTACATTTGTACCCCACAAACTTGTACAAATACAAAATTGAATTTAGCTTAATTAATTTTTTTTTTCAAAAAAGAAATGCAGGCTTTCAGGGCCCACCCCAACTTTACTGAATCAAAATCTGAATTTTAGCAACATGCTTAGGTGGTCTCTGCACATTAAAGTTTGAGAAGCACTGGCTAAAGCATATTTATACTCGGGTCTTTTTAAATTTTAACACTCAAAGGCAAGATACCATTTTCCCCATGGTCATCTCATGACTTCTGACAGAGACGTCAATGTTATCAAATCCATCTTTCTGCCTCCATTCTCCTAAAGCGCCCAGGGAGCTGTGTTACTTCCTCAAGCACAAACCACATTCAGATGTCAGCTAATAGAACTGGAAGGAAATAACTGAGTTCCTGGTCTCAAGCCAAGAACTCTAACCTCCAGCCTGAATTCAGGCAGCGGGGAAGCCTGAAGGCTGATTTTCCCTAAGCACAGGAAAAAGATCATTTGAAAAGGGAGTTTATAACTTCGGGAGGCCGAGGAGGTCGAGACCAGCCTGGGCAACATGTTGAAATCCCGTCTCTACTAAAAATACAAAAATTAGCCAGGTGTGGTGGCGCACACCTGTAATCCCAGCTACTTCGGAGGCTGAGGCTGGAGAATTGCTCAAACCCGGGAAGTGGAGATTGCAGTGAACCGAGTTCACACCACTGCACTCCAGCCTGGGCAACAGAGCCAGACACCATCCCAAAAAAAAAAAAAAAAAAAAGAAGTGAGAGTTTATATTTCAAAGGTCTGAGGAAGAGGTGTGGAAGAAGCCCTCCCTCTTCTTCAGGGGAAGAGGTCTTGCTTCTAATACAGCCACTTTGTCCTGGTGTCCATACCTTCACCTCTGGGAGGCCCTTGCTAATGCTTTGAGGGTAACCTGCCCTCCTGCTGTACAGGGCTGTTCTCTGCCACCTGCAGCCTGGAACTGTCAGCCTGTAAGGGACCAGGGAGGACATCTTGCTCCTACTCCTCTGGGTGGCCAACATTCCCACTAATGACCCTAACAAGTCACACATATTTGTCACCAACAATGGGGAGATCATTATCACCTACCTCCCAAGCAGCCCTTTCAAGTTCTGAGTGTCTTTGACATTTCAAATCTCTTTACAATGTCAACTTCACCTGACTCCCGAGGGAACTATCTTCCGAGAGTTCCATCTGCTTATTTAACTGCCAAGTTCTCTACCTGGGAGAGTGTTCCTTAAATCTATGCTTCTCTAATGTGTCTTCAAAACACCTGGGGATCTGTTGTTTGAAAGTCTGGGAGGGCCACTGAGTTTTTTGCCTTTGGTGGGTGACAGCAATGCCCCTGACCAGAGTTTGAGGGACAAGACCTTATTTAGTCTCAGTTTTGTTCTTCAGGACCACAGAGAGCAAAGCCACCTGACCTGCTGTCATACATGGAACATAAAATCATATCTTTCCCAAATCTTCTCTTTTTTTCTTCCAAAAACATCCCAGTTCCTTCCATAATTCCTTAGCTGTCATGGCTTTGCATCTTGTTATCATCTGATTAACTGTCTTCTGGAAATTTTCCAGTGAGTGTTAACAAGCCCTTTAGGTGCATGACACCAATCCTGGAACTCTTCAACTTGAACAGAGCAACCCTGGGGCCAAGTAGAACCAGGCATTGTCCTGATTCAGATAAGCCCATGACCTTACAATCTTGTTCAGGAACAATGTGGTCCTATGGATGTATGGAGCCTCAGATTAAAAAAAAAAAAACCTTCACCCTTCCCTCATACAAATGCATACGCCTTTCTTATCACAATGGTGAGAAAATGGATGATAAACTAATTCATCCTCTAACATACTAGTAACTTAACATGTTATTTAAAGGAACTTTGACAAGGCGATCTTAAAGAGACAACATCTTACTCTAAAGGCAAACTCCCTAATGGTGTCATTGTAGGGCTGGGAAAGACCTGTAGGGTGAGGGTACTGCTCAGAGCATACCATGCCATCGCTGCTGCCTCCACTTTCCCCAGGGCTCCCTGGCAAACAAAATTCACAGCACTC